TAAGGGTTTTGGCTTTAGTTCCACCCTTACTGTCCTGGCTTGAAACTCATTTTATTTCTGTACTTGGGTATTTCTCCTTCTCACTTTTAAACTAGGTATTATTTATTTTTATTTAGTATTACATGAAGCTGCTATCTGTCCATACTATTCTGTTTGACAGTAGTACTGTCATCAATCGTTTTTATTTGTGTGATAGTAAACACTTTTGTCAGCTATTTACTTTTTATGATTCATTTTATTTCAGGTTTTACTTAAAAAGCATATATTGGCTTTTATCATATTTGTCATACCTAATAAATTTCAAATTTTTCATTATATTTTATATTTCCTAATTCTGTTTCCGTGAATTTTTCTTATATTTTGCTGTATGCACACATCTTTGCAACTGTTTGCCTGACTTATATACCTGTTTTTCTGAGAGTTTCCCCTTACCTCAACATGGCTATACCTACAACTTTATTATCCTTTGACAAATCTAACTGATCCACAAGTGACACACACTGAAACCTAGACAATGCTTGTCTTCTTGGGACTTTTGTCTGAAACGTCAAAGCCAGAACTGGTTCAACTTAAAACTCAGTAATTGTTAGTAATGTTTCCTGCTAGGCAAAAAAAAAAAAAAAAAAAAAAAACGGCTTCTTTGTAGCTAGAAAAAATGAAGCTAGTTACAAGCTGGGAAAAATAAAAAATAAATAAAAAAGATGGAAAGTGCTAGCCATGTTTGAATCCCTAATGTTCTTCAAGTCCAGCTGGGTCTATTTATTGCTTGGGACATTTCTGCCGTTAACATAAACACAGGTTTATGTTGTTGTAGATTGGGGTGGGGGTACCCAGATCTGTAATATGCATCTTTGATTTCTCCAATATTGCTGTCTTGGTAGTTCTCCACCTTTCTAACTTTTCCTACTTTTTAGTTTACTGTTTACACACGGTGGTAGTTTCCAAAGTCCTTTTCTCCTTCTACTTTCTTTTTCTGGAAAAACCCCTCTATACTCATAGGCTTCATCCACTACTGTATCTTTGATGATGTCTGAGTTCATTAGTGTAGCGTTCTCTATTACACTTCAGACTTTATTTTCATTTGCTTAGTATTCATCTCCATCTAATTCACAGGCATCTCAAATTTGATACAGCCAAAATTATATCAATTCCTCTAAGTATGCTTTTTCTGTGATCTGTCCTAATCATACCACTAATCATCTACACTAGAAATCTTAGACTCAAACATTTCTCCATCTTCCTCATTCCCCACAACAAAATATGCATAAATCCTTCCTTAATCAGTCTCCTGTCTCGTTGTTTCAGTTTAGACTTACTTCTGACGTAAACCTGAGTCCATCAAGCATATAGACCACTATGATGTGTGAAGAACTCTGCAAGGTGTGAAGACAGTCTTTGGCCTCAAGGAGCTATCATCTAGATTGTGGAACAAATGCTGCTATCTACATTCTTCTCATATCTGATTTAAAAAAGTATTTACATGAACAAAATACTACTCTGGATGTACTCATATCCTTGATTACAGTGGTTCTCAAAATGTGGGGCATAGGCACATTGAGGGCAGGGCTCATGAGGCCTTTCCCAGGGCCTGTGAGGTCAATACTATTTTCATTATACTATTAATAGTAAGACTTCACTTTTTTCACTGTGTTGAAGTTTGCCAACGATGATGCAAAAGCAATGTTGGGTAAAATTCCTAATTTTAGCTCAAATCAAGGTAGTAACACTCAACTATTATTTTAGGCATGTATTCTTCACTGTCATAAATTCCCAGTAAGAAAAAACTGAGCCACAATGTCCTTGATGAAGCAATAAAAATCATGTCAGGTTTGCCAGGCACAGTGGCTCACACCTGTAATCCCAGCACTTTGGGAGGCTGAGGCGGGTGGATCACAAGGTCAAGAAATTGAGACCATCCTGGCCAACATGGTGAAACCCTGTCTCCACTAAAACTACAAAAATTAGCCAGGTATGGTGGTATGTGTCTGTAATCCCAGCCACTCGGGAGGCTGAGGCAGGAGAATCACTCGAACCTGGAAGGCGGAGGTTGCAGTGAGCCAAGATCACGCCACTGCACTCCAGCCTGGGCGAGAGAGCGAGACTGTCTCAAAAAAAAAAAAAAAAAGAAAAAAAAAAATCATGTCGAGTATACAAACCTTTCACATGCTGTACTCTTATTGAACTTTTCCTCTTATAGAAACGTACTCATTCTTTAAAGCTCAGATTATCTACTATTTCGTTTTTCCTCTGAGAGGTCTTCAAGACCTCTCCTCTAACTTCCCCAACACACACTTATCACTGTTCCCCCCAACTATCTTTTCTGAACTCTCTCGGTCTTTGTTCGTATCTCACAGCCTTTACTTTTTTATGGGTGAGAAGGAGATGGTGATTTCTGTGTCTTTCCTTCCCATTTGGAAAGTATCACTGGATTAACACACACTATAAAAGGATAATGGATTTTAATGATTATTCTGGGACATTGCTTAAACAGTTCACACCATCATGCTCTAAAGGCATAAAAGCTTATTTACTGTTTTGAAGGTTACTTTTCATCTTGTTTATTTTTCCTCTCCATCTCCGCCCTGCTTCTCCCTTCTCTTTTATTCCTTGAAACCACTGATGTTGCACTCAAGCAGAATTTAGCTCTATTAGTAACAAGCTGTGCTAAAATTTTTCTTATTCTCTGTGAATAAATCTGCCTTCTTTATTTTTTTATTCTTTGTTAGTCATTTGTCATTTTCTGAACTTTTTAAGTTTCTTTTCATGGATGTAAAGATCAGAACTAGATACAACATTGTAGTTGAAGGATTAATATCTAAATTCTTAGATTTTGTGTTCCTGTTAGAACTTTGTAAACGGATATTTTGTTTTGTGTTTATTTTTGAATAAGAAACTTACTGAAACTGATTTTTTTTGCTCTACTGTGGGCTTCAGTTACTTTTTTTGCTTTTTAAATCTACAATGTTTGAATGTCATGCAACTTAATTTTCTTAAATTGCCAACCTGCTATACTCTGATGTGTAGAACTTTATCAACTGCTTTAACCATTAATTAAAAATTTTCATTATCATAGAGACACGGTATCTTACAACAAAGAGGCTTCTAGGTTAGCGATTATAGAGTACTAAAATTCTTAAAAGACTTCACACTATTTAGTCACATTTATTTCCACAAACACTTTTCAGTACCTATTATAGGTTAGGATTTAAACTGGTATTTGGATATCATTACCTACTTGGTATTTTACTGTACAATCAGTCCAGTTTACAGAAGAGGTTCATTCTAAGATTTTTAGGATACTTACAATACATACCCCAACTGAAACAAAAAATGTTCCTCAACTAATTTACAAATGCCTGTTTAGCCTACGATGCCAAAAATATAACATTTCTTTTACCTAGAGAATCATCAACACAAATAATTGTTGCAGTATTAGTGATTAAACACAACTTTTAAAAAAAGGAAATGCCGTAGCATCCCAAATAAAGCAAAGACATTTCATTTAAACTTCACACATACACAAAGTATAATGTGGGTGTATTTTAAAAGATATAGATGAAGAAACATCGATGATTAACAAATTTAATATCAAAACCATCCTTTCATTATCTGAGTGGGTCCAATCTAATAACATGACCAGAAAATTTTCTCCAGCTGTTAGAGTAATGTAACAGCAGAACTCAGAGATTTGAAACATAAGGGACTCGGCCAGGCGCGGTGGCTCACGCCTGTAATCCCGGCACTCTGGGAGGCCGAGGCAGGTGGATCACGAGGTCAAGAGATTGAGACCATCTTGGCCAACATGGTGAAACCTCGTCCCTACTACTAAAAATACAAAAACTAGCTGGGCATGGTGGCGCGTGCCTGTAGTCCCAGCTACTCAGGAGGCTGAGGTAGGAGAATAGATTGAACCCAGGAGGCGGAGGTTGTAGCGAGCCAAGATTGCGCCACTGCCCTCTAGCCTGGCGACAGGAGACTCTGTCTCAAACAACAAAAAAAAAGAGAAACATAAGAGACCTTACCTACTGTTACTGTAGGAGACCATAAGGAAAACATAAAGGAACAAGGACAGTTTCTAGGAGCAAAGACTGTCCCCAAGTAAGAGTCTACAATGCAACAGAATCTCAGTATTGCAATGACAAGGAACTGAATTTAGCTAGGAATCTTAAATGAGCTTGAAAGCAGATCTTCCCCAGAGCCTCTATTAAAGAACAGAGTCCCAAGCAACACCTTGATTTCAGCCTTGTAAAGCTCTAAACAGAAGACCCAGATGAGCCTACACAGATTTCCAACCGACAGAAAACTGAGATGACAAATATTTAAAGCTAAGTTCATGGCAATCTGTTAAGGCAACAAGAAAACTAATACAGATGGCAGGTTCCAGGAACAAATGTATTTCAAAGTAGCCAGAGCAAAGGATGGGAAAGGTAAAAACGGAAGACAAGTTAGGGATGAAGTTGGTGAGGCAGATAGGGTCTAGGTTATAAAAAATTAAGATTTTATTATGTAAGCTACGAAGAGATGCTAAAACTTTAATTTTGTGGGAGAGATGATAGATAATGACAAATGACAGAAATGTTGTTAACTGGGGATGAGGAGGAGAAAATAGGCAGGGAGATTAATGAGGAATGTATTATGAACATCTGGGCTACAGATGATGAAAGCCTGAACCAAAGCAATGGGAACACAAAAAGGCACAAAAACCAGTATGCTTTTGGTATATTTCAGAAGCAAAAAAGGTCTTCATTCCGGACTAATAGTGGGGATTACAGAGTAGTCATTGATGACTCAAAGTGTTTTAGCATCAGTAATTTGGTGGATGATGATGTTCAACAATCAACATAAGGAATACAACAAAAGCATAATATTTTGTGGGGGCTAAAAACCGGAAACAAAGGGGAAATATATTTTCCTCTAATTGCAAAATAATGGAGACAAAGTTAAGAATTTTAAAGCAGCAAGAAAACATAAATAACATCTATTTTGTTAGGCTCGATTACCTCTGCTGTTGCTTTCTGGATAGGCAAGTGTAGGCTTACTTGGGGAGCGTCGTAGATCACTATTAAGGAAAGGCTTATCCGAAGGATATACTACATATGGAGATGAAGAATGCCGAACCATGCTTCCATTAGACCTTGATGGCTCAGCTAAGATGTTCTAAAAAATAAAGACACAAATTACCTTTCAAAAGTGTGAACTACAAATAGCCGGTTTAAACCACAAATATTTATGACTGAGAACTAGACTGTCTATACAGACAAAAGAAAAAAATCCACTGACTAGAAACGACAAAATTCAATCAATGAAGAAATACAACTTTTAAAGTGTTCATATTAGTCTAAATATAGCCATAGGCCAGACACTACAAAAGAAAATAACTTTCAAACAACTTGAATACAAATGCTGTGCAGAAATACTTACATGATACAATGAACGTAAATACTGTAGTTAAAAATACATACTGTGAAATATACATTCAGAAAAATAAATACATTATTTTTACAGGACCAGAAATTGCTACAAATGACTGAATTACTCTATTCCCCATCAACAAACTACTACTTGAATATTTAGAGTATTCAAAACTCCAGAAAGAAAATAAGGCACTGTCCCTGCCTCAAATAATTTACATTTAATTAACAAAAAAGAAAATAATTAGAAAACATTAAGGCCCATCAAACACTCAAATATAAAACTTTATTTCTACAGTACACCATTCTGTCATAAATGAGATTCTGTTAAATTTAGGATTCCACATAATAATCTCAGCCTAGAGGATGCTAACTGTGGAGTTTTATTTGTTGTAGGCAACTTCCTATTGACAGATGGTACCAGACTGGTGGAAGTAACTAAGAAGCTGAGGGTTAAGGTGGAAAATATGACTGCTAGCTGTTCAAAATGTTCAGACATCCACTTTCCTTCCTCAAACCGCCACAGCAAACTATGTTTTTCAATTCTTACCTTTGAAAACTTAAATTTACCAGAATAATCCGTGTTCATAAAAGTACAAGAGCACAATATTTAAAAGAGTAAACAATCTCCTGAAAAAACGGTTATCGAAATATCCGCACTGTATTTAAATCTTAAAGATTTTACTTCCATGTTAAAAATCATGCAAATTTCCAGTTGATTTAAGAAAGCAAATATAAAAGATTTTCTATTTATATAAATATAAAACACACTATGGCTATGAAAATCAAAAGTGGGGACAAAGAGCTTAGGAGGGTAGGGGCACGTCTTAAAGGTGGTACTCAAATAAGTGCTAAATATACTATAGTATGTTCACATATAACAAAGACTACTATTTGGCATTTTCCAAACTTAATAGCAAATTGGCATCTGGTTTTAGAGGTAACTGGAAAACAGGATTGAGTTTTCAATTCTTTATAATATGGTCAAAGGTCTTGCAAAGCATCCTGAATTATTGCATAGCTTAAAAGTCACAGGGAACCTCAAGTTCTCATTGGTTATTTACAACCCACCAGAATCCTATCATTTAATATTCAAAAATATTAAGTGACTTGCCGACCACCCTCTGCCCAGTCAGGAGAATCCCATTAATTATGTGATTAACTAATAAACTAGTTCCCAAAATGGAACTACCTCTGTTCTACATTTTATATGTTAGTGGGTTTGTCCTTTACTATTTTATATCACTCCTCATGACCTATACATTTTTATTATCTGTATGCCCTGTGGTATAATAAAAAATATATTTAGTCTTTTGTCCTTGGTTTCAGACAGAGATTCAAAAACTCCTAGAATTTCTTAAGTGATAGGGTATCCTTGTTAGGCTGATGAGGGGACTCAAGGTAGGGCACCTAGATAGCTTCAGGTTTGAAGGCATCTTCTGGGAGCTGGTTGCCAGTAAAACCAACCACTAGATTATAAAGAGTTACAAATTTCAGCCAGGCACACGGTGGCTCATGCCTGTAATCCCAGCACTTTAGGAGGCTGAGCTGGGTGGATCACTTGAGGTCAGGAGTTCGAGACTAACCTGGCCAACATGGTGAAACTCTGGCTCTATCTAAAATATAAAAAAATGAGTCGAGTGTGGTGTCGTGCCCTGTAATCCCAATTACTCGGGAAGCCGAGGCAGGAGAATCGCTTGAACCCAGGAGGTGGATGTTGCAGTGAGCCAAGATTGGGCCACTGCACTACAGCCTGGGCAACAGAGTGAGACTCCGTGTGTGTGTGTGTGTGTGTGTGTGTTGGGGGGGAGGGAGGTGCGGTGGGTAAGAGTTACAAATTTCAGCCCTAGGCCCTGACCTCAGGGGAGGTAAGGGGCTGAGATTGAGCCCAGTGACCAGTGGATAAATTACTCAATTATGTACCTATGTAATGAAAGCTCAATGAAACCTCTTGAATAATGAGGTTTGGGGAGCTTCTAGATTGTTGAACATACTGATATGCCGGGAAGGTGCTGTACCACAGAGAACATAGAAGCCCTTTCACACCTTGCCCTATGTCTCCTCCATTTGGCTGTTCCTGAGTTGTGTCCTTTATATAACTGAAATTGCTTAAGTACAGTCTTTCCTGAATACTGTGAGCCGTTCTTGGAAAGTTGCAGGAATCCCTTAATTTGTAGTCAGCTGAGCAGAAATGTAGATGCTCTGTGAACTCTGACTTGACTTGGGGGCGGGCAGTCTTGTGAAATGGAGCCCCTTAATGTATGGGGGTCTGAGCTACATCTGGGCAGTGATAGAATTAAAATAATTTTAGGACACCCAGTTGGTGTAGCATTTTTGCTGGAGAAATTAAGTTCTAATAAAGGATTTTCATTCTGTTCAATAAATCTGTTGAATATTAACTACACATTTCCTCCACAAACAGGAAACTGCACATCACTTATAAAAGATTATCCTTTTCAGCAAAGTTACTATAACCCTTTAAGAGATCATCAAAAGCTTTTGAGCTTCTTTATATGTAACAAATAGCACAAATATCATAGGAAGGCTGTGTAGAAAGAAGCCCAAGTCTAACTCCCAATTCACTAATCTTTCCATGACCCTAAGCACTCAGTAAAAATTATTCCAAACAAAACATGATTGTAGGAGAAACTTTCAGGATTAAAGGCAAAATGTTTAACGTGATCACTATCTTTTCCTGCAGCCTTTAGTTGTTAGGGCAAATATCTCATTTAGGAACACACAATTCAACAAATATTTACTGAACATCTTTTATGACACTGTGTGAAGTATGAAGCATAATTTAAAAATGCATATTACTTGCTTTCTTTATAAGTGGAACATGCAACACAGCTGCAAGACATTAGCTAGATAAAACTCAAATACAAAGGAGTAGGTGGGAACTGCTAAACTGGATGTGATAGAGACTAAGTGCAAATTAAATTCAGATGCATTCAATAGAATATTGCTTCAGATCAGTATGGTAAAAGAAGGTCTTTATTAGTGGTGAAATCGATACTGGATCTTGTAGATTGACATGTATTCTAATAGGCAAGCTAGAAATGGGTATGAAAGGCAATTATTTCTAGGTCAATGAATACATTAGTTTAGCTGAAAAAAGAGTTTGTGTACACATGTTGAGGAAATAAAATTGGAGAAGTCAAGGTCCAATGGTGGAGAAACATGAGGTAGAGCTCTGAGCAGCGCAATCAATGCAATAGCTTCAAAGTAAAAATCAATACAATCATCAATGAATGTAAAAAAGCATTCAATAAAATTCAACATCCAGCTATTATTTTTTAAAAAACTTATTTCCTTATGATAATACAAAGTTTTACAAGAAAACATGGCAAACATACTTAATGATGGAAAACTTGAAATATTCCTTTTAAAATCAGCAATAAGACAAAGATATCTACATCAATTCTAGTCAAGATTGTATTTCGTTTCCTAGTCTGCACACTAAGATTTAAAAAAAAAAGAATAACAGCTGTTAAGATTGAAAAGGAAGAATCCCAGTTTTGGATTATGACCATCTAACTAGAAAAAAACAAAAAATCTTCAATTATGAGAATTAAGTCTGGAAGATTGCTGGGTAAAATAGATATGCAAGAGTCAGTAATTTTATATATTAGAAAATGTAACTTATGAAAATATATATCACGCAACTAAAAACTAGAAATAAATTGAACAATATACAAGACATGAAATTATACAAGTACTGAAAAATGTAAAAGTTCTAAATAAATGGAGTAGCATAACGACAGAATGGTCAATATCCTAAACATATCAGTTATACCCAAATTAAGCTAGAAATTCAATAAAATCTCAATCAAAATTCCAATAGCAGGTTCTAGAATTTCTACTGAAGAAAAGCAAAGGACCAACAATAGCTAATGTTTCTCTTGAGTAACAAGGAGGTAAATGCCTCGACAGCGGGTATCTGAGTAGGAGAGACAAATACAACAAAGGGATAAACAGCCAGGTAACACACCCATATGCATATGGAAATGAACATATTGCAAACCATGTTTGAGAAAGGATGAATTTTCAACAAGTAGTGTGGGGAAAATTGTGTATTTTAAGTAAAACCATTAAATTGGATCCCTATCTCTCAGCATACAAATTAATTTCAAGTAAATTAAGGACATAAAAGTCTCCAACTTTAAAATATGTAGGAAAAAAATACAGAAGAATACAACCAAGGCCTTGGAGAAAGGAAGAATTTCTTAAACAGCAATCACTAATTATAAAAAGACTAACAAATTTTACACTAAAAGTAACAACTATTAATCAAAAGGTATCAAAGACAAGCCAACATGTCCTTGGAACAGTCTTAACAAACTGATAATTAACATCCACAATATGTGAAAGAATGCCTATAAATCAGTAAGAACAGGCAACCCAATTGAAAAACAGGCAAAAGACACGAACAGGTATTTCACAGAAGAAAACACACACACAAGAAAGTAAAGGTAAGAAAAAAACAGGGTGCATATTCACCAATGATAAGAGGAGCACAAATCAGAAAAAGAATAGGACATCATTTCACACACACAGCAAAAATTTACAAGTGAGACAATACCATCCATTTAAGAGGACACAGAATAAAGAGGGCTGTTGGTATAATCACTTGGTAAAACAATTTAGTATGACCGAGTAAAGCTGAAGACGCACGTGCTCTGTGAACCAGATAATTCATTCAGTTACATTAGCTGAACGATTTTCTCTCTTCTTTCTTGAAAATGATACGAGTTGAGTCACAGTACATATTCCATGACCCACTACTGAGTTGTAATCCAGAGCCCAGCCTGAGGTCTGAAAAAAAAAAACAATCACTGCTCTAGAGTTGCCCCTTGGAAACATTTTCTCTCAGGACCCCTTTACACTCCAAAAAATTTAGTGAAAAGAACAGAACTATTTTATATTTCTGCAGATCTCTTTAATGTTTGCCTTAAAAAAAGAATGCTGGATTCTTTTATCTAGTTCCACATTCGCTCTGTTGGATATGTTATTTTGTTTGACATATTAAAGAAGATGTAGTCTACCACAAACGTGGTCATTACAGAAGGATCTTGTAGACTCGGAGAGGGTCTTGGAGATCTCCAAGGGTTGTGAGGCCATACTTCGAGAACTGCACTCTGGAGAAACATTTGCCATGTACAGCATATAAGAATGAATACAACAATGTTGTTTATAATATCTGGCAAACAAATGAACAACAAAACTTATTAAATCCAAAGCCCATTAAGATACTGTCATTTACTAGCTAGATTTTTGACTCAACCTCTCTGTGACTCATTTTGCTCATTTGAAAAAGGAAATATTAATGCCAGTCTCAGAAGGTTATTGTGAGGATTAAATGAATTAATACATGAAAAGTGCTTAAAGTGCCTTTAAGGACTATGCATGCCAGATAGTCCTATATAAATACCATACATTATAATCTTAAAATATGAGGTACTGGGTGGGCGTGGGAAGGAGAAGGAAGACACAAAGAGGTACATGAATACATGAAGGTATTCATTTTATTATTCTCAAAAAGTAAATCTTATATTTAATATTATAAAATGTATGATAGCCATAAAACATTTTTAAGGGAAATTAATATGGAGCTACTGTGCAGCTTGGTCGAAGGAACTATCTAAAAAGTCAGAGAGACAAATTAAGAGATTAGTTCATTAATCACCAAGGTTACTGTGAAAACATTACAAGGCTGACATGAAAGACACTCTTGTGTGTTTCAACGCAATGCTGTCCATACTTCTATATGGAATTAATTTCATTATACCCAATCATAGTTGCTTTCCTGCCTTTTCCACCAGTCGAATTTATCAATTCAAGAGCAATCACTCAATAAATGTTACCTAGACCTAACTGAAACCTATCGCCCTACTTCCATGTTGTTCACATTTGAGATTTACAGGGTTGAGGCTTCCTAAAGACGGTTATTCATTAATCTACTTGTTAAAAATCCTGGCCTGTAAAGCATCTCAATGTACTTATAAGTAGCTCCATATGGGTTTATCAATGTCGAAAACAGTTGAATGTAACAGTTGTTAATCTTCACAACGGGGAAATCTGAATACGAGTTGTGTTTTCAGTTCATGGTATAGTTTTAACAAGTTTTTTTTTTTTTTAAATGTTGCCTACTGTTAAGATCAGCTGTTTGTTAAGCTAAGTGCTTTTCCAATGCTTTTGGAAATGGCAGCCTTATTTCTGATGGGACATCTAAGCAGGACCTTTTCTTACGCACCAAGAAACCAACTAAATTTAGTCATTTTTGTTTTGAGAAACAGTAGCTTCCAAATTAGACATTTTGATGTAGCAGATTGAGTTATGCTTGTTATACTTTGGTTTGCGGAGGATCCTAGACACTCTTAGTGTACCCTTGATATTTAGAATCCAATTAAAGCTGAGCTTAGCACAAAAAAATGTATATGCTTTCCTAATGAACGGTCTTTGGGGTTTCTGTCAAGGCTACCGTATTAAGTACTAAGAGCTGACTATATCCCAGTGCCAATGCTCAGCTAGGTGTCCTTGGCATAACGCAGCTCAATTAAACATTTATTTAATATTTTATTTTATAGAAACAGAGTCGCTCTGTCGCCCAGGCTGGAGAGCAGTGGCACTATCATAGCTCACTTCAGCCTCGAACTCGTTGGGCTCAAGTCACCTTCCTGCCTCAGCCTCCCTAGTAGCTGGTATTACAGGCATGAGCCACGCACCGACTCAACATTTGTATGAGTATTCCTTTTCCTTGTTCAGTCTTCAAGTGCTTAACTGTTGAGAGCAGTGAAAAGCCCTCTTCTCCCAAGTTTAATCACTTCTCCTATAAAATCTCATCCATCTGCTGACACTTCTAATAGTTTCTTTTACTTTTTTCTTTTACTGACCTAATCCTGAATAACCTTAAATTGCTGCTTTCATTACTTCTCCTTAACTTCCCCAAACCTCTCTGCAAACTTCTAATTCCCATCTGCTGAATGCTTAGGTTGTTGAAAACCGCGGCGTTGGAAAGCTTTGATAGAAGTAAATGTTGGAGCTCTTATTTCTCCAGCTCTTATTTCTCCACTGTCAATACTTTTGGTCCCATTATTACAAATTCTAACAAGTCTGCGAAAGCTGAAACTGACTTCTCCAAGGTGACCAGGCTTTTTTTTTTTTTTTTTTTTTTTTCCAAGGTGACCAGGCTTTTTTTTTTTTTTTTTTTTGAGACAGAGTCTGGCTCTGTCGCCCAGGCTGGAGTGCAGTGGCGCGATCTCGGCTCACTGCAAGCTCCGCCTCCTGGGTTCACGCCATTCTCCTGCCTCAGCCTCCCGAGTAGCTGGGACTACAGGCGCCCGCCACCACGCCCGGCTAGTTTTTTGTATTTTTTGGTAGAGATGGGGTTTCACCGTGTTAGCCAGGATGGTCTCGATCTCCTGACCTCGTGATCCGCCCGTCTCGGCCTCCCAAAATGCTGGGATTACAGGCGTGAGCCACCGCGCCCAGCCCAAGGTGACCAGACTTTCTTGGCATTCCCCACTCCGCTTAGATTCTAGAAAATAACTTTACCCTGATATTCTTCTAGTTCCTTCCCTCACCATCCTTTTTCCACGTTTTTACCTACGTTTCCAATTCACCTCATCCAACTCTACCTCCGTATTACTACTTCTCATTCCGAACTAAAGTTTCCTGAAAGCACCACTGTCCTAGCACATACTCCAAAATTCCTATAGTGCCTTTTTCTCCTTCCTCTACTCTTGGGACAAGCAATTACAATTCCTTCGACACGCAACTAGCTCCATCTTCCCTTCTAAGAAACCTTCTCTGGCCTATCCAAGCACTGTTAATTACGCCCCTCTAGATTATTCTACTAAGGTAGCACTTGCTAAACTGTATTGCGTAGTAATCACTAATTACGTGTAGTTTCTCTTCAGTGCTTTGCCCTTCAAAGCAGGGTTTCTACTCTATTCATTTGAACCCTAACAGTATGCCAGGCATCGAATATTTCCTAAGTGCAGAAATAAGAGCTCCAACATTTACTTCCTATCAAAGCTTTCCAACGCCGCGGTTTTCAACAACGTAAGCATTCGACACTCCAATTTGACAAATACCAGTGAATATCAGTTAATAAACTGGCTGGTGACCTTTGATGAGGCAAAAACAATATTTAAAATCAATTCCCCCTATCGCCTCTCCAAAATGGCATTTCCACAGTGAAGTTCCAGTAATTCTAGGTGGCGGGAAGCGCGCGCTCCGGCTACGAGGATCACACAACGAAGTTCATGTGGACAGCAGTGGGAGGCACTGCAGGGATAGTTAACAGCATAAGCAACGACTAGTAAGCGCTCGAGAGACGGCGGACTACTACTCTGCAGCTGTCTCTTAAAATCACCGGCGCGCCTACCTGCTCTGGCGAGTTTCCTAGAGGGGCCGCTGAACTCACGTGACCAAAGGAGCTACGTTTTCGCAGGCCAGGGAGTGGGCCGTTAGCCCAGTTGGGCCTTGGGAATGTTAGGCAACCGGGGTTGCTACGCCGAAAGGTGAATGAGGGATGGGGAACAGAGACGGCCAGTCTCTGTTCCAGTTTCACTGGAAGCCAGAGGGTGCAGTCTCGACAGAGGAACAGTGAATGGAAGCTTGGGGAGCGCGGGGCAATCTAGGCACTCCCGCCGTCCTCCGGAATTGACTCAGAAGCTGGACTGACAGAGCCCTGAAAGTGACGAAACTCAAAGAGGCCCTTGGGAACGACGTGGGGCCCACTCGCGCCAACCGCTGCTTACCGACAACTGGGAACCAGAAGCCGCAGACACAGACGCCGCCGCCATCTTTCAGCCTGCCCAGGGGGGTCTCCGCACCTTGGGGGCGGTCTGGGTTCTCGTGCTCTTCTCCAAGACTCGGGAGCCGCCCACCAGGGGCGACCCTGGGCTGAACCCCTGATGGAAAAGGGCAACGGTGCTGGTGCTCGGCTTGGAAACCCCTGCCACACACCCCCTCAGGGCCGCCTACGCTCACACCGTACACAGAAAAGGCAACACGTCCTAACGGACGTCTTCCCTAGCCAATCAAAACAGCAGACGTCTTTTAGTAGCAGGAGAGAATCCGCCTCTTCCCTGGTGACGTCACAAGGTAGCGCGTAACTGGGCCCGCTGGGGGCCGACAACGCTGCGGGCTACTGGCCGGCTCTGCGGGGATTCTACGGTGGGGCGGGCCTCCTCCAGTAAGAAGCGTGGGCGAGTAGTGTTGTCGCCAGTGGCAACCGAACGGAGTAATGGAGATAAAACAAAAGCGAAGGCGAAGTTAAAGCACTCCACGAGTTCCCTCGGAGTAAACGCATGAGAGAGCGTGAGTTTGCCTCGGGGACGCCTCTCCAGGTGAAGTACTTACCTTTTGGCCAATAACAAATAGGATTAGGAGGGACTTAACGACTTAGTCCAATAGAAAGCAAGGATAAAAAAGTTGCGGCAGAGAACGAGCCTTTCGCGAACATTTGCCCAATTGGATTGGGGCGCTCTCACCCAAACCTGGGACTGGCTGTTAGAAATAGCCGCGACCGCAGACCTTTGGGCGGGGCAGGTTCAAAGCGGATTTCGCGCGCTGAGAGCTCCGGGCTCTCATTGGCCGGCGACATCCTCCCTTTGTGGGCGCTCCAGGCGTCGCGGAAGTTGGAAGTTGGGAGGAGCCACCGAGTGACGCGTGGCCTCCGCAGCCAATCAGGGATGGGGAAGGGAGGCCGAGAAGGAAGCGGATCCGCGGTCGCGCAGCTAAACAGCAACCCCTACCCGCTTCGTCTCCCTCCGCCGCTATCGGGGCCTAAGCGGGAGCGGCTGGCACGGCGTCACTGGGTGGGCTGGGGCGGAAGTGGAGGCGGAGGGAGACGGTGGCGTCGTCCGCGGGGCCCTGGGCTCTCGCGGCGAGGCCCTGGTGGGCGCGAGGCAGGGGGAGGGGGAGGAGGAGGAGCCCGCGGCCCGGGCGGCGGCGGCGGGTCTCGAGTTCTCCGTAGGGCCCCGCCTCGGAGCGGGCGGCGGCGGAGGAGGAGACTGAGGAGCAGGATGGCGGCCTCGGCCCTGTATGCCTGCACCAAGTGTACCCAACGCTATCCCTTCGAGGAGCTCTCCCAGGGCCAGCAGCTCTGCAAGGTCCGTGGCCTCCGGGAGGAGGGCGGGATGGATGTCCTCGGTCGTAGCCGGAGGGGGCCGGGTAGCCGCTGCACTGCAGCCCCTCTCTCTCTGCCGGCGCCTCGGGGGTTTGGGAGTCTGGTGTCCCCGCCTCCCCACTCGGGGACCCCTTTTTCTGGGGGCTTGAACATCAGCTGGGAACGGCCCCTGAGAGGGAGGCAGAATCGTGCCCTCTTCCAGGCGGCCCGGGCGGGTGCCGAACCCCGTCAGCGTCTGAGGGGTCTCAGAGGTGGGGTTGAGTGAGGCAGCCACCTGTCTATACCGCAGAGACCCAGGGGTGGAGATGTTTTCATCTCGGTTTTCTGCCTGGTCTGTCCTCTTCTTCCACCAGGAGGCAGGGGACGATTTTTGCACTTTCTTGCTAGGAACCCGAAGCCGCAAAGCTGATGGCATCCTTCTTCCCTGTCCAGGAAAGCGAAGCGACTGGTTTGGGAACAGAATGCTCTGATTTGGAGCTCCTCCCATCCCATTAAAGCCAGGATGCTGTCTGTGAGCAACGGTGCAAAATAATAAGTAGTTTTACATTTAACCAATCCTTGAAATCGGCCCTGACAGCTTTCTTAATTTGTCTGTAATATACCCCACGTCTACTAAAGACAAAGACACCTATGCCTTCCCTGAGGAATTATATTGTGATTGGCCACTTATATGATAAAGCATCCAGTTCCTTACATTGGGGCCAGGTTTTATCAGTATTTTAGACATTTCACTAGGTTGGGTAAACAATTTTCTACCAGAAAAGTGACATTTGGTACTTTCAGATAGATACCGACTAATGTATTGTCTTATTACAGGAATGTCGGATTGCACATCCTATTGTAAAATGTACTTACTGCAGATCAGAATTTCAACAAGAGAGGTTTGTATACTGAACAGTTTTTGACTGTTAAAGACAAGTGTTGTCTGTATGGAATATTTGGGGGTTGTAATCCCATATTTTTGTGAAAGTATTTTTAAAAAATGGTTTAGCCCCAGAAATTTTAAGTTGTAAACCTTTTATACATGGTGGGAGAGAGAATGTTGCCCAAAAAACCAGGGGTTGTTAATTTACCGTTACACTTTATATGAGACAGAATAAATTACTACATGGAAAATGTTCAGCCTTGCTAATGAAAATGCAAATGTAAACAGTTACTGTTACACTAAAAAAAATGGTAAAGCCTTAATGGACCTGAGGAAAAGTCTGTAGTGTTACCAACTGCCGTCCAAGGGTGAAATGTAGTAATTTGTTACATGGAAGAGGAGTAGTACCTAACATTTTTAACAGTTACTTCCGCTCTGAGAGTATATACACAAAGTAGCCTCAGAAAAGAACAAATAATTTCTTCTTAAATAGGTGTGGGCATTATAATGTTGGACAATAGCCAAGTGGAAGGTTAGGTAGGCGCTGGTATTGTAATGCTGTGCATTAATAGTGGCAAGTGTGAAGATTTTGGGGCTATATAGGAAACATTAAGATGTTTTGTGTACCAAAAGAAATACACAATAAAAATGTATAAAAATATTTGTCTTAAGTTAATTTGGGTAAAACAACTCTGAAAAGATCCTTGTATTTTTGAGAAAAATCCGTGGTCCATATTACAGTAAGTTTTAGGTACTACAAATCTTTGACTCATTTTATTTTGACATTGTGCTAATTGCTTTAGAAAGCTACATAAACATGATCTATATACAATTTCTCTTTCAGCAAAACTAACACAATTTGTAAGAAGTGTGCTCAAAATGTGAAGCAATTTGGGACGGTAAGTATGTCATGTTATCATGTCACTGTTACCAGTTAATATTTTTCACAAAGCTGGACCTTTTAAAAAGTACATACTGCTGGCTGGGCGCAGTGGCTCACGTCTGTAATCCAGCACTTTGGGAGGCCAAGGCAGGCGGATCACGAGGTCAGGAGATCGAGACCATCCTGGCTAACACAGTGAAACCCCGTCTCTACTAAAAATATAAAAAAAAAAAAATTAGCCGGGCATGGTGGTGGGCGCCTGTAGTCCCAGCTGCTCCAGAGGTTGAGGCAGGAGAATGGCGTGAACTCGGGAGGTGGAGTTTGCAATGAGCTGAGATCCTGCCACTGCATTCCAGCCTGGGCAACAGAGCAAGGCTCCGTCTCAAAAAAAAAAAAAAAAAAAAAAAAAAGATGTACTGCTGTACTCTTAGGTATTTCAACATACCATATTTTATGAAAGAAATCTTCCATAGATATTTTGATAGAAAGGTGACAACATTTAAAAACAGTCAAATTATATGCCTGTTTTACATGTATTGAATATCAGTGTGAAATTTGTGAAGCTATTTAAAGATTCAAATATAGCAAATTCTTGGTTATGGAGAGCTTATCCATGAAGTTTGCATGATCAGACTTTAGCCCACTTCAGAACGACCTCTTCAGAACTATTTTTATAAAACAGCACAGTTCATACATTTTTTCACAGAAATCATGACCCAATCCTAGTACAAATTGTCTTATATGTATACTACAGTCATTATAGGTATATTATACCAATATTATTTGTTGTTGGTTAAAAATGCTAACTTTAATGCTTTAAACTGTCCTGAATCATCTTTTGAATATCAAAGAAAATCAAGGTATGTTTTTATAGTTTATGTTGAATATGCTTGTCCCTATTTTTTTAAAGTTGAAAACTATATATTCCTTACATGATTTGTACCTATATGTGATGAAAAGTTAACATTTTTTAAATAAATGATATGGTCACTAAGCTAACTAGGATGTTAAATTAGTAGAAGGACATTTCCTCAAATTCTTGATTCATGAGACTTCTATACATGTGTACCTTTATTTTCATTCTTGGAAACCTTTTTGTGTGTAGTTTTTGTATTATCTAACACTATGCAAATCACAAATCTATTTCTCATGATCTTAGAGTAATAGTTTCATGACTAGAAATAAATATTAGTTGAATGCATAGAAACACCGTAAAAGTTATTGCGTATGACAGGGTAACAAACTTGACAGAAAACAAATTTTTTACCTGAGTTTTCTTAATTCCAGAAATATGTCTAGAATACTGGATATGTGCTATGCAGCAAATATTTAATGTTTTTAAAAGTCTCAAAATGTGTATGTTTTTCAGCCCAAGCCTTGTCAGTACTGTAATATAATTGCAGCATTTATTGGTACCAAGTGTCAGCGTTGCACAAATTCAGAAAAAAAGTATGGACCACCTCAGACCTGTGAACAGTGCAAACAACAATGTGCTTTTGATCGGAAGGAGGAAGGAAGAAGAAAGGTATGCTTTGTTTATGTTGTGACATCTGGAAATTAAATGCCAAACAAGTTAGAAATTATGATTAATACACTGCCGAGACAGGATTTATTTTTTAGGTCCATGAAAGCAAGTAGTTAGGTGAAAGTGCAGGAATAGTGAGTTTTCTCCTTGTTTGCATGATATGTAGATTCATGTACTATACTTTAAAAAATACTTTATGGTGGCTATTCTGTACTAGTTGGCTATCCCACATTTGGTTCAGGAGATTTAACTAATTTTTGTTAAATAACTCACTTTACCCTTTTGCTGGTTACTTGACATTGCTGGTGTGAAAAAGATACCTAATGGCACATTGGCACATGAAATTCAGTTACTCTTGTGCCTTTTCATACAGGCTCATATTTGAAACTGTTGTTTGTTTTTGTCTACCTGCAGTGACTTAATGTAATAAGTGTATGTGTTCATGTGATAATTCCTTTGCGGTTCAGCATTCACACAGGCCTCCTGTTGCCTATCAATTTTAGTTGATTTGGAAAATGACTACCTCTTTGAGGGGCTTCCTCAGGTCTCCCCACAGCAATGTATGTACCGTGTTGTAAGACATGTCCCACCAGCGTGACTGGTACATGTACATCATGAAATACTGTGGATGGAATACATGTGAACAAATAGAAGATAAAAACTTGATACTATTTTTAGAGGGTTAGTCAGTACTTTCAGAAAGTCTCCTCTTTTCTTTGACACAGGTACTATTGATCCTAATTATTTGTGGTAGGTCTTTAAAGTTCCCACAAAACAATGAATACAGTAGTACCCACCTTATCCATGGGAGATACCTTCTAAGACCAGTGGATGCCTGAAACTGGGGATAGTAAAGAACCTTACTATGTTTTCTTCTGTACGTACATGCCTACAATAAAGTCTAGTTTTTTAATTAGGTATAACGAGATT